TATTTTAATTATATTATATATTAAATATTTAAATTATTTAATTATAGGTGACAGTATGGGGCTGGTTCCCTACTCCTTTGAGCCACAGGCACTGCGCAAAACTTCTGTATTTTATGTGTATAGTACTCATTATTACCTTTTATATTTTAAATATTTTAATTATTTAATTTTTAAATATTTTAGTTATATTTAAATATTTTAATTTTAATTATAGTGTATATAAAGAAATTTATTTTTATTAAGAAGGTGACCTTATAGGTATTATATAAAAAAAAATTCTAGAAAGTTTACACTCAATGAAAATATCTAAAATAAGTTGTTCATTGTGTTAACACATATAATATGATTTTATTTTACGTATTTTTGTTGAATCTAAACTTTTAATAAACTAAAGGCTTAAAGCGTGCCCTTACTAATGAAACTAAGTATTCTTAAGGCTAGAACAAAAAATATGATAGTCTCAAACTTTGAATTCACATAGGAATAATTTATGCCTGTATTTGCGTTTCCAGATGCCTTATTAGTAATTTCGGTGGAATAGTTCAGGAGAATTAATTGTTTGAATTTGTACTATTTCTTTATTATCATTCATAGGCATGTTGAAGAAGATTTTTTTTTTTTGTGGTATAATGTATGACTTGTTAAAATTTTATTTTTGGCAAGCTGACAAAAGATCTTGTTATGCTGTCTAATTACATGGCTCAAATCTAACAATTATTTCCAATTTGTTGGTTGCAATTTATGAGGATGGAGAGTCTGAGTGAATCAGCTATTAATTTTTTGTTTGAATGAGATCTGTACCTGTGGAGAATGAACACAGAGTTTTAAACTTTAACGTATGATGCAGTAAATCTCATGCTAAAAATCGAAAATGAGATTGAATTACCCTTTTATGAAGGAAGAATTTGATTAAGAAAATTATGAACAAATATAATCTTTTCATTTAAAAGAACTGATGATTAAGAATGATAAAATAAAAATTATAACATATGAAAATTAACATTGGTTGAACTTATATTTGTTACCCATTGCTACAGTTGAGTTTAAGAGGTCATCCATTTTATGCATAAAGTATTAATATATGGTTCATTGGAAAATATTATTAGTTTAAATAAAGATTTAAAGATGTTTACAAAGCAACATAATTAGCATGACATTAATCGTTAGATGGAAAATATTCTCATTCTAAATTATATGTGCCAACATTTCATGTGATGATTTTTTTTTATCTTCACAAGGTAGTTCTAAGTCACAATGAACATATTTTTAGAGTATTTTCTACATAAGTCCAATAAACTTTCTAGTTATTCCTTCAGTATATATTTTGCTTCTGAAGAAAAGGAAAAAGGAAACTAATTGGATTAGAAACCTAATTTGAATGGACATATTTTAGTCCAGGTATCAGGGAGGCCTTGCTTAAATTATTTGCAAACATAAAGCAGCATACAAAACCAAGTGAATAGAGCTTGAAAAATATTTGAGTTCCTACAATTCATAACAAAACACGGGCAGAATAAACAGGAGTGAAAAATGAATGAGAGTTATAATTGCAACTATTGTGAAGCAGAAAACCATTGAATTGTAAATTCCTAAAACTGATTCTCTAGGGCACAGTGGATTTGGAATCAGAGACATAGTTACTATCGGAGAGGTCTAACATTTATTTATGCAGTAACTATGAGCAAATTATTCAATTTCTCTGACCATTTTTAAAGGGAAAAATAAAGACCTACTTTATAAAAATACAGTGAGGGGTAAATAAGAGAAGATACATACTTGTAAAGGTATTTTCAGTACATTATAGATAATCTATGTCTCTTTCAAAACTCCGAGAGACTAGAAAAGTACAGTCTCAGAATGGGAGAGACAACCTAGAGTTCGTGAGAAAGGGGTATAACTAAGGCAGAAAAAAAAATCTTATGAGAAACATTTTTTAAATTAAATCATAGCTGTGTACATTAATGTAATCATGGGGTACATGTGCTGGTTTTATACACAATTTGAAATATTTTCATCAAACTGGTTAATATAGTCTTCACGGCATTGTCTTAGTTATTGTGTTAAGACATTTATATTCTACACTTAGCAAATTTCACATGTACCCTTACAGCACAAGTGAAGATTTCCTTGCAGAATGGGCTACATTTTAGGCAAGTGAGGCCTTCAGTGGAAAGTTGTTTAAAGAGAAGTTGAGTGACAATCTTGTTGAGATTATAGAGAAGGCTAAATTAGATATTTGACTGGAAGATTGGATCATCAGAGTCCCCTGAAATCATGAGATTCAATGGTTTGTGAAAATATTAGTTTGATTACTTTGCAGTTAAACATTTGTCAGAAAGAAGAGATAGAGCTGAAAGATGAGAAATTGGAATCCAAACTGACTGTGTTTACATTCTGATATAGCCTTTTTATGATTACCAAATGCGTCAGAAATATATAACCT